CCAAAGTCTTAAGAACAGTGAGCTGGCCCTTTGTTTGAAAAGTGGTCAGCCGGCGGAAATGCTTTGTGCAGTCCTGTCCCGGTGGAACAGGAGAGCCTGGGAAAGCAGTGATCCAGCGGCTAATTTTCTTGGCTAGTGTTCCAGCCAAGAGAATCTAAAGCAGTGGTCTCCAAACTGCGACCGGGGGGCCAGATGCTGCCCTTCGATCCTTCTGAAAGCATGTGTAGGCAGAAGATATAAAAGGGGACCTCTGGCCTGAAAGTTTAATGCAATGTTACAGATTCTGTATACAGCCCTACAGAACAGACAGAGCACAGTCCACATGTGTTTATCTACTGCTTCACTACAACCAGGAAACAGGAACTGTAATCAGGAAGAAGACACAGAGTATAGTCATAAATGCAGCTAAAAAGTTATAAACACCGCCACCTACTGGTTAAAGGATATATCTCTAGTGAATGAAGAAGTAGTTGTTGCAAAATACATGAACACTGTATTCCAACATGCCCACATGAAGTATGGAGTTAACCAGTTAACATTCGCCCGATAGCAGTTTTACTGTTACAGGGCAGCATTCCTGTGCAAAACCACACACACACACACATATATATATATATAAAGTGATTTTGCACACGGGGGGAGGGGGATCATCGCATTTTCTTTGAAAGGTCACAGCACAATCCATTCTACAAGCACCTGCAGAACATCGGTCAGGGAGGAACAACAGAGCGGAATCTATGTTTACATACTGGGGGGACTTAAACTGTTTTTTTACATCGTGAGGGTTTACAATCGCTTTGACAGAAGTAGCTGAAGCATACAAAGGTGGAAGAGAACAGCCAAAAATCCCTGGGGAGTAACAGCACCCTGAAACTGGTTCGTAAAATGCGGTTCGATGTGCAGAATTGGATCGCATGGCTGTGAACATCCATGCGATCCGATTCTAATGTGGACAAAAAAAAAAGTGTCCTGCACTATTATGGTGTGGATGCGGTGTGATGTATGTACAAAATGTACGGCTCAAATTGCGCTGCGCAGAAATCGCATGGAATTTGCACAGGAATGTGATGCGGTTCCTATGTGAATCGCATGTGATGTGCCGCACCGCATCAGTGTGAACCCGGGCTTAAAGGTTTTTTTTTTTAAATCGTCAGGGTTTACAATCGCTTTGACAGAAGAAGCTGAAACACACAAAAGTGAAAGTGAACAGCCCTGGGGAGTAACAACACCCTGAAACTGGTTCGCAAACCGAGGTGCGATGTGGAGAATTGGATCGCATGGGTGTGAACATCCATGCGATCCGATTCTGGCGTGGGCAAAAAAAAAAGTGTCCTGCACTATTTTGGTGCAGATGTGGTGTGATTTGAACCATACAAAATGTATGGCTCAAATTGCACCGCACATAAATCGCACATGATTTGCACCAGAATGTGATGCAGTTCCTGTGCGAATCACATGTGATGTGCCGCACTGCATCAGTGTGAACCCGGGATTAAACTGTTTTTTTTTACAATGTGAGGGTTTACAATCGCTTTTACAGAAGTAGCTGAAACACACAAAGGTGGAAGAGAACAGCCAAAAATCCCTGGAGAGTTAAAAACACCCTGAAATTGGTTCGCAAAACGCGGTGCGATGTGTAGAATCGGATCGCATGGGATCCTGCACTATTATGGTGCAGATGCGGTGCGATGAATGTGCAAAATGTACGGCTCAAATTGCGCTGCACAGAATTCACATGTGATTTCCAAAGGAATGCGATGCGGTTCCTGTGCGAATCACATGCGATGTGTCGCACCACATCAGTGTGAACCCGGGCTTAAACTGTTTTTTTTTTTTACATCGTGAGGGTTTACAATCGCTTTGACAGAAGTAGCTGAAGCACACAAAGGTGGAAGAGAACAGACAAAAATCCCTGGAGAGTAACACCCTGAAACTGGTTCGCAAAATGCGGTGAGATGTGCAGAATCGGATCGCATGGGTGTGAACATCCATGCGATCCGATTCTAATGCGGACAAAAAAGAAAGTGTCCTGCACTATTATGGTGCGGATGCGGTGCGATGTATGTACAAACTGTATGGCTCAAATCGCACCGCACAGAAATTGCATGTGATGTGTACAGGAATGCAATGCGGTTCCTGTGTGAATCACATGCGATGTGTCGCACCGCATCAGTGTGAACCCGGGATTAAACTGTTTTTTTTTTTTTTTACATCGTGAGGGTTTACAATCGCTTTGACAGAAGTAGCTGAAACACACAAAGGTGGGAAAAAAAACAGCCAAAAATCCCTGGAGAGTTAACAACACCCTGAAACTGGTTCACAAAACACGATGCGATGTGTAGAATCGGATCGCATGGGTATGAACACCCATGCAATCTGATTCTGGTGTGGACAAAAAAAACTGTCCTGCACCTTTTTGGTGTGAAAGCGGTGCGATTAGAACTGCAGAACGAAATGAAATCGAGAAGCGCACCAACCTTGCGCATTACCTTTTCGTTCTCGTTTTCATTTCGTTCTGCAGTATTGGTCGGGCTTCCCCAGCTTTGTTTGGAGCCGCACAACCCTACATGCATTGGTGGTCGATTTTTCCAGGTCTGGTTCCATCCATTTGCCACCTGTCTGGGTCCTAGAGCGTAGGAGAATTTGTTTTTGATTTGCGGTGCGATTAGAGCCATACAAAATGTATGGCGCAAATTGAGCCGCACAGAAATCGCATGTGAAGTAGCTGAAACACACAAAGGTGGAAGAGAACACGCAAAACTCCCCGGGGGACAGGAACAAGTATCCAGCACATATAGGAAGCCAGGGGCTGACACAGCCCACCAGGATCTCCCTGTATTGAAAACATGATCATCTCCTAGATTGTAAGCTCCAAGGAGCAGGGCCCTCGAACCCCTCGTGTATCGCATTGTATTGTTATTGTACTGTCTCGTGTATTGTCTCCCATTGTAATGTACAGCGCTGAGCGAACTGTTGGTGCTTTAAAAATACTGTATAATAATAATAATCATCATTTTTTGGAGGGTGTCTTGTTATAATTCTTGACATCCAGCTGCTGGCTCAATCACAGATACACATGTTGCACAAACTAAAAATGGTCACTAGATGGCAATGTAGCACCAAAAAAGTGATGAAAGCCTATGGTCCTTGGTTCTGGGAATGTGGAGCCATTGTAAGCAATGATGAGGTTCTGGTTCTCCCTGCTTCTCAACCACATTGGGTTTTTTAAGTTGTCTGCCATTCACCTGAATGGGGAAATTATGGGTTTGTCCGTCTGAACACCAAAGGTGGCATCCCCCCCAGTTTATTGCATGAAATGTGACCTGCGGCCAGGTGACACAGCATGCGGCAATAATGGCGCATGGAAAATGTGCCTGCCCACATCCTATATAAGGACCGTTCACACCCATGCATTTTTTTTTGTGCTTTTTACAGTCCATTTAACATGATTTCCTTCCCATCTCTGCTTTTTTGAGCTGCTGCATTTTTGGAAAGGGTCGGAGACTTTTTTTAAAGCAAAAAAGCAGTGTTTTTTCTACAATAGCGCTCAATGGAGAATCTTCTGGAATGCGCGGTAGTGTGTTTTTGACGCGTTTTGCATTTTTATTTTGCCCAGCAACAACGACAAAAAAAATTCCACTTAAAAAAAAAAAAAAAAAAGAGCTGAACAAAACGTAAAACGCAGTAAACAAGAGTTAAAATGCATCAAAAACGTGTGTAGAAAAATGCAAAACGAACTGCGAAAAGTGCTGCAAAATGGTCAAAAAGCAAACAAGGAAGAAGGCAACCAATCATCCAAGGACATTAGTGAGTGCAGACTGGTGGGAGAGATCCTGGAGACTGCATGCTGTTGCCACCCCTCTGGTTCTACAGAGTCAGCTGTGTTAAAGGGGGACATTGTGTCTGGTGTCCTGAAGAGCTCAGTCTATGAATTCCCTGGAGAAAGGACACGGCTTAGATTGATCAAGTTCCTACTACAAGGCTCAGTCCACTATTTACTTGTACAAGGACTTGGCTCATCATTTTATAAGAGTCTCCTCTTGTTTGTACCGGAGGACACCACAAAGAGAATTCCTAGACTGTTCATTGAGCCAAAGGAGCGACTGCGACTGTGTGCCTGGCTGCATAGCAACTACATGAAAAAGACCCAAGGGGCCCCCTACTAATACTATGGGCTCCTATGGGGTTACCACTACATTTGGGGGCTCATTTCGGGATAGTTGTTTTCCTAGGAAATGGTGCAGATTGATATCACCCATGGTGACCCTACTTTTATATCCATGGTGACCCTACTTTTATATCCATGGTGACCCTACTTTTATATCCATGGTGACCATACTTTTATATCCATGGTGACCCTACTTTTTAGATCCATCGTGACCCTACTTTTATATCCATGGTGACCATACTTTTATATCCATGGTGACCATACTTTTATTTCCATAGTGACCCTACTTTTATATCCATGGTGACCATACTTTTATATCCATGGTGACCCTACTTTTATATCCATGGTGACCCTACTTTTATATCCATGGTGACCCTACTTTTATATCCATGGTGACCCTACTTTTATATCCATGGTGACCCTACTTTTACCATTTCCTAGGATTTCAACTTGTGTGCAAAAAGTAAACAAATTGCCCCGACTGGCAAGTACTTATGAGGTTTATTTTTTTTGCAGTATTCAGAGGAAAAAAAACCAACAGGTTAACATTACACTGACTTGTAACATCCAAAATCTGTGGTGCTCCACTCCGAAACATTGGTCTCCCAGGACACTATACAATGACTAACACAATATCATAGGTACTTCCCAGCCGTTATATAGACATAGGTGTCTTACACCACGTGAAGGTACATAAGTTCTGTCCAACAGCCAAGGTTGTTCCATAGATGGATGGAGATATACTTTAACTTCTGCTAAATACTTGACAGACCGCTACAAGGCACTGTATACAGTGTATTACCGTATTTTTTGCTCTATAAGATGCACCTAGGAGGAGGAAAACAAGAAAAAAAAATATTCTGAACCAATGGACTGCAGACATAGTACAGGAGATGACCAGAGACTGCGGACATAGTACAGGAGATGACCAGAGACTGCGGACATAGTACAGGAGATGACCAGAGACTGCGGACATAGTACAGGGGATGACCAGAGACTGCGGACACAGTACAGGAGATGACCAGAGACTGCGGACAGTACAGGAGATGACCAGAGACTGCGGACACAGTACAGGGGATGACCAGGGACTGCGGACATAGTACAGGAGATGACCAGAGACTGCGGACACAGTACAGGAGATGACCAGAGACTGCGGACACAGTACAGGAGATGACCAGAGACTGCGGACAGTACAGGAGATGACCAGAGACTGCGGACACAGTACAAGAGATGACCAGAGACTGCGGACACAGTACAGGGGATGACCAGAGACTGCGGACAGTACAGGAGATGACCAGAGACTGCGGACACAGTACAGGAGATGACCAGAGACTGCGGACATAGTACAGGGGATGACCAGAGACTGCGGACACAGTACAGGAGATGACCAGAGACTGTGGACATAGTACAGGAGATGACCAGAGACTGCGGACACAGTACAGGAGATGACCAGAGACTGCGGACACAGCACAGGAGATGACCAGAGACTGCGGACACAGTACAGGAGATGACCAGAGACTGCGGACACAGCACAGGAGATGACCAGAGACTGAGGACACAGTACAGGAGATGACCAGAGACTGCAGACATAGTACAGGAGATGACCAGAGACTTCGCACACAGCACAGGAGATGACCAGAGACTGCGGACACAGTACAGGAGATGACCAGAGACTGCGGACACAGTACAGGAGATGACCAGAGACTGCGGACACAGTACAGGAGATGACCAGAGACTGCGGACACGGAACAGGAGATGACCAGAGACTGCGGACACGGTACAGGAGATGACCAGAGACTGTGGACACAGTACAGGAGATGACCAGAGACTGCGGACATACTACAGGAGATGACCAGAGACTGCGGACATACTACAGGAGATGACCAGAGACTGCGGACCTTTGGGGAGCGGAGGGGGGGAGCAGGGGGGGGGGAGCGGGTACCCGAATTTGACATCCGCGGAGTTGTCCTTCCTCCCTGTCTTCTGCGACACATGACAGGTCCCAGAAGACTGCCGGTCCATTCACAAAGCGCAGCGCTTCTCACGCATGCGCAGTGGGCACCCAGCTGTGAAGCCGCAAGCTGTCACGGCCGGTTGCCTGCACTAAAGATGTCGGCGTTTGGGGGGAGAGAAATCATTGAGGACACCGCTGGACCGAGGAACAGGTTCTTGAAGAGCTAAGCGGCCGGCCCGGTATTAAAACATGGCGAATACTGGGCTGGGCGCTCCATATTTGCTCCATAAGACACACAGACATTTCCCCCCATTTTTTTGGGGAAAAAAAAGTGCGTCTTATGGAGCGAAAAATACGGTTATCTCAATTTTCTCAAAGCTACTGCAAACTAGTGCCCTTCACATGTTCATTACCGTCAATAGGTTATCATTAACCAACGGCTATAAACTTTTACTGCGACAGATAACAACATGACAACTGGTGAGGCAATAATTTACAGTACATGCTGGTTCCAGTGGTGACAACACCTCCACTTTTACAATGGAAATAATTCTCTGGTAGTCCAGGAGGTCCCCTGCTTCTTTCTAGTCTTTAGGCTGGTCCTGGTCAAAGCCACGTTTACTTGGGTAACACCGAGACATAAAATGTACCAGTCATGATTTTTGTTTTCTATTAATTTGTTCGGTTCGCTCAAGACAATCTAGAAAAAGCACCGAAGGAGCGGGCAAAGGGCATTACATCGTTACATAGATATGAAGAAAGTCAAGTTGGAAAAAAAAAGACAAAAGTCCAACTAGCTCAATGAAATAAATAAATAAGTAGAAAACCTCCATATACAGAATTCTATACCCACAGTGGATCCAGAGGAAAGTGAAAAAAAAAAGTCCCTATAAAGCACAGTCCATTTTGCACCCCAAAAATTCCTTCCAGAACATCTGAAGACAGTCAGGTATTGCATGGATCATTAGTTCTTGGTGTTATTACCTAGGGATGGTAAGATCCAGTTATCTTTTGTGTAGTTAGGAATGCATCCAGCTCTTTTTTATAATGCGTCCTACTGAACTGGCAAGAACTATATCTTTGTAATCAGCAGTCACCACGTTTATGTACACTTGCCAACATTAATTATATTATAAAAACATAAAAAACTTTATAGCGCAAACGGAGAAAGAGTGATTAGGTCCCAAGCAAGAAGACGTAGTCTCTGTATGGTCGATCCAGGTGTGTTAATCCACTTCTATAATGGTTGCAGCTCTTCTAACAGGGTATTGGCATGTGTTGGTGCCAGACAAGCTGGTCTGAGTATTTAAAAAATGCGGATCTACTGCGATTTTCACGCACAACCATCTCTAGGGTTTACAGAGAATGGTCCGAAAAAAAAGAAAATATCCAGTGAACGGCAGTTGTGTGGAGGAAAATGCCTTGTTGATATCAGAGGTCAGAGGAGAATGGGCAGACTGGTTTGAAATGATAGAAAGGCAACAGTAACTCATGTCAATATGGACCAAAATCTCTGAGGAATGTTTCCAACACCCTGTGAAACCTATGCCATGAAGAATGAAGGCAGTTTTGAAGGCAGCAAAATGGTGTCCAACCCAGTACTAGCAAGGTGTACCTAATAAGTGGCTGGTGAGTGTACACCAGCCCAGGGGCGGACTGACCATTTGGAAACTCGGGCACTACCTGAGGGCCCGGGGTCCGTAGGGGGCCCCATGAGATGCCCCTGGTACCTTTTTCATAGGCTTTTTTAAGCTTGGGCAAGGACACAGGGGCCCCATGATCCCCTTTTGCCCGGGGGCCCCATGAGTTCTCAGTCCGCCCCCCTGCACCGGTCACTTTATTAGGTACACTTCTTCAATTGCTTGGTAACACAAATCGCTAATCAGCCAATCACATGGCAGAAACTCAATGCATTTTAATCATGTAGACGTGGTGAAGACGACTTGCTGAAGTTCAAACCGAGCATCAGAATTGGGAAGAAAGGGGATTTAAGTGACTTTGACCATGGCATGGTTGTTGGTGCCAGACGGGCTGGTCTGAGTATTTCAAAAACTGCTGATCTACTGGCATTTTCACACACATCAATCTCTAGGGTTTACAGGGAATGGTCCGAAAAAGAGAAAATATCCAGTGAGCGGCAGTTGTGTGGATGAAAATGCCTTGTTGATGTAAGAGATCAGAGGTGAATGGGCAGACTGATTGCTGCGACATTCAGATGATAGGTGTAAACAACATGAAAGCAAGGACCCATCCTGCCTTGTATCAACGGTTCAGGCTGGTGGTGTAATGAGGCAGGTTTGGCCTTGGTACAGACACACAAGGTGACACACACGGGTTAAAATGCCAATTAGAGGTTAATGTCCCGCATCTGTGGCTTTTTAAATTGCAATTAGTGTCAGTGTATAAATAGTCAATGAGTTTGTTAGCTCTTATGTGGATGTACTGACTATGCTAGATACTGAGCCATGGGGATCAGAAAAGAACTGTCAAAAGTCCCGTGTAACAAGATAATGGAACTTTCTAAAAATGGAAAAGGACATAAAAAGATGTCACCGGCCACTTTAGATACACCTTGCTAGTACCAAGAACCCATCCCCCACACCATTACCCCACCAGCCTGAACCGTTGATACAAGGCAGGATGGATCCACCACACCATGACACCACCACCAGCCTGAACCGTTGATACAAGGCAGGATGGATCCATGCTTTCATGTTGTTTACACCTATCATCTGAATGTTGCAGCATTATATATATATATTATAATTTTTCACCCATTTTCTTGTGCCCTATGCTTTAACTGTAGAGCTCCTTTACAACTTTAAAATACTTTAAACATAAAATATCAAAAAGTGTTTCTTCCATATTATCTGGACATCCCGTTCCTTTCCTGGACTAAAATTGAGCAGAGGCATAGCATGGGTGGGGCCATTGGGGTAACTGCCATGTGCAAAATTCTAAATGTATTGTACCCAGGGGTTAGGGGATGCAATATTTGCCTTGCCCTGATGCTGACCACCCATGCTATGTCATTGTAGGGCACCAGGAAGCTGTCAAAGCTGGCAGTCAATCATAGGCAGGGGAGGCATTCTTCACCTTGCAGTGCACCACTTGCACACTTGTGACTGTGAATGCCTCCGAAGCCTATGATTCATTGTCAGCTTTGACAGATTTTAGGTTGGATAGCTTGGGTGGGTTTGGACTCTTTTCAGCCCATCCCCACCCAGGAAGGCGCCCCTGGTGCCTGCAACCCACACTATGCCACTGGGGCCAAGTGCTGCTTACCCATTCACATATTTTCTGAATGAATGCAAAGCTTCCTCTGATTGGGTGATGCCAATACAAAGCTCCCAGTAAATGGGAGTCCTCATCCCACTGCCAGAACATAAAACCATTTACCGTAGCCTACGTATAGTTCATACAACACTGGCAGTGCGCATGTTAGTGAAGCAAATAGTTCCTTTGGACCCACTTGGTCCAAATGGACTATTTAACATTCACTAAATGTTAGGCTTTAAATAAATGTTCATAAGTGACCTGCAGTGCATAGAATCTGACGACCATTCAGTTTACTCTTCATATAAGAAAGAAGCTGTAGTTGTGGTCTGCAGTGGCACCAGTTTCTCTTGCAAACAATTAGAAGTGGACAAACATAGTAGATATATCTTGTTACATTGTAAATTGTTGGAACTGAATAGTGTTGCTGCGAATGTCTACATACCCCCCATCCCCCACTCATCTGAAGTTCTTCACCTGCTTGCCAGAGTTTTATCTTATAAATTGCCGCTTCCAGTTTTGGTTATGGGAGACTTCAACAATGTCTTGGACATCGCCTAACCACCCAAATTCTCGACCTAGGGTACATTAACTCCTTTTAGTAAACTATGTAGGGAAATAGGTTTTTATGATCTGTGGTGTGTAATGCACCCTACAGAGTTCCAGTTTACTGGCCACTCCAAAACCCCTAATTCTCTGTCTCATACAGACCTAACCGTATAGGCTTCCTTATATTACCTCTATTGACAGTCAGTCTAGAGGAGTCTAGGATCCTTGTCAATAATCTCTGCTACAGTAAACTGCCCACCTACTAAGCTGCATGGAGACTCAATCCTTTATGGCTTTCCTTGTTTACTCCCATGAACCTATATATAAACCTGTACTTTATTTTGGATATAAACACTGATAGGGCACCACAACCATTGGTATGGGACCCATTAAAGGGGCAGTTTCATTAATGAATTTAGGGCTATTAAAACTACTAGCAGACACAAGGTGGATCAGGCCAGCAAGGTGGTACTTGAGGATGAAGCCAACTATATTCAAGACCCTTTCCCAATCAATTGGGCTTATTGGCTATGCAGAATAGCCTGCAGCAGTTGTTAGCTAAAAAGATATAACAAGTCTTCCAAAAGTGCCTTCCATGAGTGGAGGGGGAACAAACCAACAGGCTGCTGCTGATCTTAGTCTGCTGCTTCCTTCAAGGGAACCATAAAGGATAATATGGGTCAAATACATACCAGTGCAGCTAATAT